TATAGGAAATGATAATAATAAATAATACGATGTTCCGATAAAAATGTTCGTCGTAACCAAATTCGTTTCCCCCTTCTGCTACATTAATTGTTCATTTGCGTTTATTATATTACTAAATATTCACAATTAATATATCCCGTCGAAATGAAGTATCGATAAATTATATATTACTTTTATATTTTTAAAGGGAATTTGGGACAGAAGGGGTATCCGTCTTTGAGGTTACTGATATGACTATAAAACATCTTTACTATTAATGTTCGCATATATATATATATTTGACGCAGCTAATAGTAATCCAGAATATTTGATGATAACTGCGTTTTTACCTATATGCACAACGAGCTATGCACAACGAAATAAATAATAAAGAAATCCAGTATATTCAGTATTCAGTAATACTGTACTATTCCTTATCCCGTTCATCCCATATTAATGATTTTTTTTGTTATTTGTTTAAATAGTTTTTTTTCAACCATTAAAAGCATAATCGTCCCTTAACTATATCATTTTGTGAGTCATAAATATCGTTATTGATCGGATATGTTGGTCGATTTTGTTGTTGAGAATAAAATAAAGGTGATTGATTTTTTCGTATTTCAACAGCAACAGTTGACTCAATTACAACAAAATTTGGTACAACCGTCTTATATGTTACCACAACAATGTCAACAAATTCCACAATCGTCTTTTATTAATCGAAACATTTATAATTCTGTTATGCAGCCTATGCAGCCAGCTCTTTCAGGTTTGTATTTTTTTTTAAACTTTATCTGAGTTTAAATTTTTAAAAAATTGTTTATATATTTATTAATTATAATTTTTATTTTTATTTTTAGTTTCCGATAATTACATGCGCGGTACCATTACATTGAATTATAACATGAATGGTTTATTGCAAGTAATGGGTCCAGCATTTGTTCCACTTTTTCAATCCGTAACAAAAGGTTCTGGTCCACCTATACCTCCAAATGGTTTCGTAAATGTTCAACAGTTACAATGTTGGATTCATGAAAAACTTCTAGCGTTAAGTCAAGAATGGATAGGTGACATAGAACAACCTTACATTTTTGATCCTGAAGAAAAACTTAAATTACGATTAATTGATGAACAAAGTCAATATTCCTCCTATGT